TATTATTTCTATTTTCTTATTTCTGTATTTCTGGGATTAAGATATGTAAAATATATTTAAAGCAAGTTGAGATGATGATGATGACTTTACTGACTACACACAATAGAAAACAATGTGACCTTAGAAGTTCTTCAGTAATGATTCTTCCCGTATTAGAAGCAACTATGCTTTGGATTTGCAATTGTAATTTTTAAAGTAAAGTTATTTGGGGATTAATTAATTTAATGTAATTGCAAGCGCGAACTAAGTTTTTTATTTTCACCTGAACTTTCTTTCTTGGTCTGAATATCCAGCGGACATCCCCATCTCTAGAAACATCTGACTCTGTCCTAGGTGTGCGGGTAGAACAAAATGGTTAAAGGATTCAGACTCATCTACAGTGACTTTAAGTTCTGGTCTGGGGGATCCCATGGGAGGCCAGATGTATTTCCCAGGAGGTATTTTCAGGCTTCCTAATTTTCCCCTGGGAGGCTGATCTAAATTGAGATTCATGATTATTCCCAGCAGGAATGTAGTCACTTGTGCTCTTCTCTAACCTGACCCCCTCTACCCACATGGCATTCTGAACTCATCCTATTCAGACCTGCATCCCTCTGAGTAGAAAACACCCATAGCGATGTCAGGATGTGTACCAGGACATTTGCCCAAGAATCCTCAGCCTCTGCCACAGGACTCCCCAGACTCAGATCATATAATCTGAGATATTAGCTCTGGAGGGGAACTTTAAGATAAGCTTGCTCCACCCCTCATTTTATCAGTGAGGAAACTGTCAAGAGAAGGGAAGTGACTAAGGTGACACAGAGTGTAGGTAACATGCTGGGATAAGAACTTGGGTTTCATGACTCTGAATTCAGTGTTCATTTCCCTGTCATGCTGACTTAAAGATTGGTATCAGCCTTCTTCCATTATCTAAGTGAACCCTTAATTTCATCTTGATTTGTGTCTAATTAAAATTTAATAAAATATTTTATCAAATTTTCAAATTAATTTACATTCCGACTCATTACATTCAAGCCTCAGTCTGCTTACACTATTTTATATGGTGGCAAATTGGGAGATTTCTTGTGTAACTGAAAATATACTGGCAACAGGAGTCACACAACTTTCACATATCAAGAATAGAGGACTATGTTTGTCCCAGTCATTACAGGGATGATTTTTGTAAAGGACTGCACACATAGATTAAGCTAGGTATCAGTTACCATTGTTTTCCCTTCCAAATTATAAAATCAGGTGATGTCTGTAAATGCTTTCATTATAAATATTAGAGAACATGCTGCTTAAAACAGAGTAGGGGAAACTATAGGAGGGAGGGGTCTGGAGTGCTGATTTTGTCCCTGAATGTTGACAGTCCCATGTTGTGGTGAGATTAATGTTGTTTTGCTCTTGGCAGATGGTCCAATTATTGGAATTCTCTCTACCAGAAATAAACTGCATTTTTTTTCTATGAACAGGTACCCTCCCACAGTAATACTACCAGTGTCATTGTGGAATAGCTGTTATTGTTCAAAGGATGAGTATGTCCTCTTTTGTTTGAGGCAAGAAGACAACTAATTAATTCAGTTATGCAACCTGCAGAATAGGTGTCTAAATCAGATTGACACAATTTTATTTATTTTGTTATAAATCAAAATAAATTCAGCAAATGGGTCTATTGTGGTAGAGGTGACAGGTTATGGAAAAAATATAATGGTGATACAATGGCGGAGACTTTAGTTCAGATTACTCAATAGGAGAAAACTTATGTAAGCCTGTACATTTCTAACTCTAAAAATTCTGTGTACAGCTCAATTACTAAAATATTTCTCTTTTTCCTCAGAATGCTCCTTTTAGCATTCCATAGATAGGAGTTACTCCTTAGAAATATGTATTGTGGTCTTTATCAGTGGTTCTATATTTGATAATATTATCTATTAGGAGATTATATATATATATATATTATATATATACAAGTTCTGGAAAAAGGAGAAAGGTGATTATGTTAATTATGATATAAGCAGTTGGATTCATGAGAATCAGTCACAGATCATAGTCTTCTGGTTATTGTCTTATAATGAACAAGAAATTATGTTTTATGTGGTATGCCTGGTAAATATCAAGGCTCCTTACTTACTCTCTGCTTTGTGGCCACACACAATATCTCCAGCATGGGTGGCACACATGAATCCAATGCCCTTGACTGTAACTTGAGAGCATTTTAGCCAAGTGCAAACCCACTATTAATGGAAAAGTAAATCAAAGTAGGTGTGGCATTGACATTTGTCTATGAAGAACAACATAATATTGAAAAATTCTAGGATAAAATATTGATCTAAAAGTAATTTTGAGGATGAAATATTGCCACTATAAACATACTATGGAAAATTATATTTGTATTGCAGATATATTTATACATATAATTTTAAATCCAAGGTTTAACTGTACATTTTCCTAGTTTAAGGAGTTATTTTGAAATAAAATTATCTACTCTAGAGAAAGTTTGGCATGGATCTATAGAATTTAATGAAAACAGCGAGTGCAACACTTGCACAGATTGTAATAGTTTACGAATGGGAACAACCTATCTTCTCCAACATAGGGCAGTGGGGCAAATAGCCTGATTTATTCACAGGATGTCATGTTAAACAGCACTCAGAATAAATGAGGTAGATATACAAGTATCAATGGGACTAAATGTCAGAAACGCAACTTTTAAGTTAAAAAAAAGTTGCAAGATGATACCATTTATATAAAATTTAAAACCTCAAAAACAATTCTATACATTCTAAAAATGGATACACATGTAACAAAAGTACAAAGCATGCATAAAATGACACATGCCAACAAGCAGTAATTGTTCACTTATTTACTTTTTTTTTTTTTTTTTTTTTTTGCGGTACGCGGGCCTCTCACTGTTGTGGCCTCTCCCGTTGCGGAGCACAGGCTCCGGACGCGCAGGCCCAGTGGCCATGGCGCACGGGCCCAGCCACTGGGCGGCATGTGGGATCCTCCCAGACTGGAGCACGAACCCGTGTCCCCTGCATCGGCAGGCAGACTCTCAACCACTGTGCCACCAGGGAAGCCCCACTCATTTACTTTTTAAAAAACAAGTGCTGGCTAACACATATATATGGAATCTAAAAAAAAAAAAGTTCTGACGAACGTAGTAGGGGCAGGACAGGAATAAAGACGCAGACATAGGGAATGGAGTTAAGGACATGGAGAGGGAGAAGGGTAATCTGGGAAGAAGTGTGAAAGTGACGTCGACATATATACACTACCAAATGTAAAACAGATAGCTAAGTGGAAAGCAGCCACATAGCCCAGGGAGATCAGCTTGCTGCTCTGTGACCACCTAGAGGGGTGGGTTAGGGAGGGTGGGAGGGAGACGCAAGAGGGAGGAGATATGGGGATGTATGTATATGTATAACTGATTCACTTTGTTAAAAAGGAGAAACTAACACACCATTGTAAAGCAATTATACTCCAATAAAGATGTTAAAAAATATAAAATAAAGATGATATGAAGTTCCAAAAAAAATAAGTGCTCTTCAGTTGATATTGGCCAACTATAACATGGTATATCTGGGTAGGTAGTTAACGATTTTCTTTTCAGCACCTATCTGTTTGCTGAAATTCAAACTTATATTAAAATATGGCTGTGCGAGATGAGAGAACTCTAATATTCCATGTTTGTGATTAGTTTGTAAACTTTTTTTAAAACGTTTGAATCTTTTCCTACAGTCACATTCTTGGTCTACACAGTTAATTTGAAATGAGGTACTGGATACCAGGTATAGAGTGAGCAGCTACCCAAAGCTAGTGGTCAGTCAATGACGGTGCTATAGCTTAGGATTCCTTGTGGGGATGAAGTTGCTATAGGAAAGCATTTTCATTTATTGAGAATGAGAGTGCTGGTGGGATTGGACACTGAGGTTTCGAAAAGACATAGTAGAAAATGGAAAAAAAAAAAAAAGCAAATTATGGGCTGCCAGAAAGTAATGCTGAGCAATACTGGGGGAAGGGGCAGTCTGGCTTGAAAATATACATTTGAAATGGAATCAGTTAGCATAATATTATTTCCCAGAAGGGTTTAGCCTCAGATCCCCATTTCACTAGGCCATCATAAAACAAAATTAACAGGAGTACATGTCTTTCTCTTTCGAAGGCAAATTAGCAAGATGGTTAAGACTTAGACCTTCTAGGTTCAAATCCATGTGTTCAGATCTATTCTTATATATTCAGGCAAAATGGTAATGAATTTGATGAACAGTTTGATTTAGTGATGAATGGAAAGTCTGATGAGGAAGATTTGGAAAATACAACTTTGGTCTTCCCTTGTTAACTCATAGGCTTTTGAGGACTTGATGAATTGTTGGAAACTGGCCTGAGGCTGAAGTCTTCTGACACACTTTTTTCCTAAAATCCCCACCTATCCCAGACTGCGAAGGGTGTGGCACTGGGCTTTAAATACCACCTGTGCCTTTATACTCCTCCCTCCTGTTGCCAGTTCCCCTTTATGTGGTTGCCTCAAGAAACTGTTCATTCTGGTAATAATTCCATCACTCAAAGTGCTTTTGAAAGTTCTATTTTGAAATCACGTCAAATCACTTGGGCTCTTTGGCCTCAGTTTCTGCATCTGTAATGTGAAATTATTAATGCTTACTCTGACTCCTAAAGTTGTCATAAAAATCAAATGAAAAATATTTTATGAATTGTTAAGTGCTATGTAGATGTAACCAATTAACACACTATTTCAGAAATTACACCTTTGCTTTATGGCCGCTCTTCACTTTTTAGTAAAGAATACTTCATACATAAACGTCTCCAAGTGACTTTTGCTGTAACCTAAAATAAAATGTTATTTCAAAGTATAAAGATATTACAAAGGACATCAAGAGTTTCATGTATGGCATGGCTCTCTTTCATCTCCTGTAAAGATGAAACTTCTTGTGTTGAAATTATGAGGGCATTTTATGAAAGAAAAATAATATTTCATTTCTGTTTTCCGTCTTCTGCAGGAAGTCACCAAAGCAGTACAGCCTCTCTTACTGGGAAGAATCATTGCTTCCTATGATCCAGATAACAAGGTAGAACGCGCCATTGCGATTTACCTAGGCATAGGCTTATGCCTTCTCTTTATCGTGAGGATGCTGCTCCTTCACCCAGCCATTTTTGGCCTCCATCGCATTGGAATGCAGATGAGAATAGCTATGTTTAGTTTGATTTATAAGAAGGTAATACTTTCTTGCACAGTCTCCATGCTACGTGTTAGTGGCATCATGTTTTAAATGCCATGCTGATACAAATAAGGGCTAAATGCTGAAATCAGTTTTGTATACCTGTGAAATAAATGGCAGCAATAATGAATATTTCTAATTTTCGCTGATAATTCAATTTACTTCAACTAATAATTATTGAGTGCCTTCTATAAACTGCCTATATTTTAGATTTCTTTTTTTTTTCACTAGTCATATACCAGTTTTTGGAATCCATGGCTCCCCATTGAAATGATTCTTACTATCTGCATAAAAGTCATTGACAAAATATCATCTTATGGTAAAATGCCATGTACCTTTATGTTGAATAACAAGAAATTGTTAACAATAACCCAGGCAATAGAAATTTCTAACTTAACTAGTTGTGACACAGTGGTGGTATCCACTGCCTTATTTTGAGTTAGATTTTTGTCATCCTAAGTTCTGCAAGTTAAAAATTTTTAGAATAGCACATGCATGGCAACCATAAGAATCTTCTCTGCTTTTCTGTATGCATTGTCCAGTTAAGAGCCCAAGTTGCTGAAGCGTGCTTTGGATGAATTCAGATTAAGACTTCCTTATCTTACAAACACAATTTAAGGTCATCTCAGTGACATGTGCTTTCACCAGCCTGATTCATGTGTGACCCTTTGATCTACCAAGTGATTATAGAAACCTGTTTGGTTGAATCATTTGGGTATTGCTTTACCCTTCTCTTTTTTCTTTCCCCAATGTAAAAACTTTATATACTTGGCTTATAAGGGACATGGACCTGAAATTCCCTCTAGCAAATAACCCATAACACTTCCATAATATACATGCAAAGTCAGTGGTGTTGTAAAACCTTGATAGCCATACTTTATTGTTCAAAAAAGCCTTTTGTGGAGGCACAAGGGAAAAACCGAGTCTGCAGTTTAATCAAATCACCTGAACCACAGTCTCATCAGTTCGCAAGTACCAGGAAAGCATGGGTGATAAATCAATAAAAATTTTATCTTGATCCAGAAATTATATGTAAGTGAAGAAATTATTAGGTATTATTTGGAGGGTAGAATTTACACAGAATGCATATCAAAGGAAGTTGAATCCAGTTTAAAAATATTTATAAAAGTGATTTTATCATAATGATAACTAATAGCTAAGGATGTACATGACAAGCTTCTAAGTGATTTTTAGGTATATCATTTCATTTGACCAAAACTCCATATGGTAGAAACTATTATCCCTATTTTATGGATAAAATATTTTGAGAAGCTAAGACCTAAAAGGTATAAAACATTGTGCAAGAACTGCTTCAAAATTTCTAAAATGGGTAAGTCACAATCCTTGAAGTGGAGGGTTTTCCAACTATTAGGGAACATAAAATAAGTACTGAAATAATATAACAAGTCAAATTGTGTTACATAGGCAGAGAGAAACATGAAGTGCTCTGGGCTAAGGGGAGGGAAGATCAAAGAAGGAGCAGGTTAGTTTGTGAATAAGTTCATATATAATGTTTAGCACAAACACAGCGATATATGTGCTTTCAGACCCAGAATGCATTAATGAAAAGTTAGAAGTTGTGTCTGTCCTTTTTCAACATTGATTATCTGTGTTCTTACACATTTTCTTTACCCCTCTAGCCACACCTATTGACCTGCATTAACGTCATCACCAAAGAATACAATTTCATCTCCATGTGGCTGTGGTTTGGTCCCTAAAATAAACTGGTACCATATCTGACCAGTTTCATCCATGTGGCAGGCAGCCACTAATTCTTCCCACATTGTTCCAGATTTTGTAATAGAGCATAGTTTTCTTTGTTCCAAAATCTGTAACCATGATATATTCAAATTATATTTTAAATAATGAATCTAAATACAAACTAGATTGAGCTTTGCCTGTGAATTTCAAGAAGATAAAGTTAACTAGCGTGAACAGATATTCACTGTTTATTGTGCACATAAACTCCATGTTAAGCCCAGTCTCAAGTTACCTGAGACTGAGTATGTTACCAAGTCATGTGTCATCCAGCTCAATGGATTCCCCCCCGCCCCTGCCCCATATTGCTCTAATAGCATTTTGGAATTAACTGCTTTATTCCTTATTCATCTGTGCTTATCTAAATGCTATTCATTATTACACACCCATCTTAAAATTCAACCTCAATAAAATATTTGCAGATTTTTATAACCAGATATGGGAACTTTCTCTTAATCACCCTATTTTATTCTATCTACTCCCTTTAACGAATTTATCATATTTAGTTATGTATGTACTAGGTTATCTTGAGGCAAGAATTATGTTTAAGAAATCTTAACAATAATCCCTGAAGCCTTGAATACAGTGATTTGTATCTACTAAGTGCTCAATACATATGTGAGGGATTCAGTTGAAGCAAATATTAGATAGGTACTCTTCAGTCAAAGCCATCTAATGGCAAATCAATTCTTATTAAATTTTATAGGCAAAGTATGACTGTGATCTTTCATAATAATAATTTATCTACATAAAAATTCTATTTTGTATAGATGGATATATTTTTCTTTGTAAAATTTAAGAATTTTTTATTAATGTAATCTTTCACAAAATTATTAATGATTAAATTATTTGTAATATAATTTTATTGACTTTAACAGTAATTTTATTCAACACAGTTACTATAAGATCACATGAAAAATTTAAGGCCAAGATTTTATTAAAACAAATTTTTTTTATTGACGTATAGTTGGTTTACAATATTGTGTTAGTTTCAAGTATACAGCAAAGTGATATAGATATATATATATTTTTTCAGTTCTTTTCCATTATAGATTATTACAAGATATTGAATATAGTTCCCTGTAAGGTCAAGGTATTAATCTCAAATTTCACTGCCTTTGGTTCCATCTTTTATAAAAACAAACAAAAGCAAAAAAAACCCCTCTACAGTATATAAATGAATATTTAAGTACAATGTTGTTCCCATTTTGGATTAGAAAAAATAGTTACTCCTCTCTAGATACTGTAAAATAAAATAAGAAGAGGAATGCCAGTGTAATATTTGTTGTAAAGAGAAATATTTATAAATCTGAGAAGACACTGAGTTAGATGAACATAAAATAATTTTCATTACCTTAACTTAAAAATGCGTGCATAGTTACCTAATTCCTCAGCTGTATTGTAACATTACTTGTAAATATATTTGTCTATTGTTCATTGACAACATCTAACTTCCCATTTTCCTTTTAGACTTTGAAGCTGTCAAGCCGTGTTCTAGATAAAATAAGTATTGGACAACTTGTTAGTCTCCTTTCCAACAACCTGAACAAATTTGATGAAGTATGTACCTACTGATTTAATCTTTTATGCATCTTTATTATAACTCATACAACCCCAAAGGTTTTCTGGGTCAGATAACAGTAATAAGCGGTTAAGTCATAAGCATCCCTATCTTCCCTATTTCTGAAAACTGAGAAGGCTAAGTTGTGTAGCAGAGTGCCATTTTGGGGTCTCACGGAACCGCCCAACTCAAGGGCACCTCAGCTTGCTTTGTATTTATGAGGTTTTTTAAAAACTCAGTCCCTATCAGACCTTGTTTCCTTTTAATACTTTAAATCAGTTATTTACTTTGGCTGAGTATGATACTCTGAGCAATTCTTGTTCAGTGCTGTCTTCTGTCACAATAAAATTCAAGGTCCTTGAGGACAGATTGTTTTAGTTACCTTTGTATTTCTAGTATTTTACATGATATCAAACCCTTAGCAGGTGCTAAATAAATTACTGTTGAATTGAGCATGCATGTATTCTGAATATATTGTCAGGTGATAGGGTTGTACAGTTGTGTAGATTGAACTTCTGAAGAGTCTTTTGTTCTCTCATGTTCTGTGTCGTGGCTCTTGCTTTATCCACACAGAAGTAAGTTATTTAAAATAAATTCTTCAATCACCATGCAATTCCACTGGAAAAAGATCACAGTGACTTGAAGTTTGTTTGGGGGGAAATCCTATGCATAGAATGTTTAAGCACATTGCTACGTGTTCCATGTGGTGAATACCTAGATTTTAGTGTGTTCAGAACGATGAAGTGTTTGATTGTATGAGCTCACTGTGCTTGATTTCTTTCTTCTTTGATTGTTTTTCCTTTGTTTTGGGCATGGAGGAAAAAATGTCAGTGGTTTTCACTGTGATTTTATTTTTCAGGGGCTTGCACTGGCACATTTCGTGTGGATTGCTCCTTTGCAAGTGACGCTGCTGATGGGGCTGCTCTGGGAGTTGTTACAGGCCTGCGCCTTCTGTGGACTTGCTTTTCTCATAGTCCTTGCCCTTTTTCAAGCCGGATTAGGGAAAATGATGATGAAGTACAGGTAGCGCTCTTATTTACATAGTTTGAAAGGGTTTTAAATTAGGTTTTCCAAAAGCCCACTCTAATAAAACCAGAACTTCTCTATGCACTGAACTGAGATCTCCTTGCTAGGCGTCACAAAAAAGGAACAATTTTCATGACATAAATAATACTTTCTATATCAAGGGGACATGTTTTTGCTTGTTAGTCTATAGAATTTCTTTATAAATATGTTACCATCCAGTTCACTTTTTGCACATCAGAGATTTAGGTACAATGGATAAAACATTTATGTGAATGGGAGGGAATACATATATTTTGGGGAGAGTTTATAGGCTTTTTCTACCCTGGTTCATGAATCATCACACCACAGCCTTAGTTGCTTTTTATTACAGAATGAATCGGTGACACCAGTCACTGCTTATGAAAGAGGACTTCTAGTGTGCCAGCTAGAGTATGATAGAAAGTGTACAAATTTTGGAGTCAAATAGCTCTTAGTTTGAATCCCAGATTGCATGCTTACTAGTTACATGACCTGTGTCAAGCTGCTTCAGCCACTGTGTTTCTGGGTTTTTTTGTCTTTAAAATGGAGGTAATCACCTCTGTTAGGTTGTCAGAAGGATTAGGCATAATGTATGACATGCATCTAATACAGTGTCTGGCACATGGGAGGCATTTACTAAATGACAGTTACTATTTTTGTTACTATATATTTGATCATAAAATAAACATTCGTTTAATAAAAGAAATGTGGCTTTTCTTAAAAGCTTGGGCAGTTCTTAGTGGACATTTTGACTTGTTTTTACTAAGTATTTGATTGGTGGATGGATTATTTACAGAGATCAGAGAGCTGGAAAGATTAATGAAAGACTGGTGATCACGTCAGAAATGATTGAAAATATCCAGTCGGTTAAGGCCTACTGCTGGGAAGAAGCAATGGAAAAAATAATTGAAAACCTAAGACAGTAAGTCATTCTGATAATTTCAGTATCAATTGAATTAGCCAATTAAGGTTTAACATGTTAAAAATGAGTACGTCTTGGGCTTCTCTGGTGGCGCAGTGGTTGAGAGTCCGCCTGCCGATGCAGGGTGCCCCGGTCTGGGAAGATCCCACATGCCGCAGAGCGGCTGGGCCCGTGAGCCATGGCCGCTGAGCCTGCGCTTCTAGAGCCTGTGCTCTGCAACGGGCGAGGCCACGACAGTGAGAGGCCTGCGTACCTCAAAAAAAAAATAATAATAAAATAAATAAATAAAAATGAGTATGTCAGAGTGGACTTCAGCTCATATTTGAAATTTCTGACAACCAAACAGTTGTTATAAGTTATATCAATATTCATGTGTTAGTGGCTTAATGTCATTTTCATGGGGCTATCGTTTTACATAGGTGATTAAGTATGCTATTTTGCGCTACAAGGATATGTATCCCTTATGAAAGAATTGCCTGTATGTGCTTATAGCTGCTTAATATACTTATTGACTAAAATAATGATCATGATTCTAGAGACTGATTGAAACCTTAAATGGAACTGCTAGAGTAATAAGGATATGATTCTGAACCAAATAAATGATTCTCTAGTATTATAGCTTCCTTAATTTATATGTTATGGCTCATGAAAAACAAACAAAAAACAAACCCTTCTGTTTGTTTAAAATATGTTTGTTCTTCCTTAACTTAAGAGTAATACAGGGTAATATCTATACATTGTGTTTCTATAAACCCTCCACTTGAGAAATCAGTTCAATGAAAGCCGCCACCTGAAGTAGAATCAGTACTTGGCAACCGTCTACATATCTGGTCTTGTTTTACCTCAGATAACCTTTCTTTCACTGATTAGTAAAGATTATAGCCAGGAAAAAAGTACAGCACAGACTGAGAGATACTGTTACTGAGAAAATTTTGGACAAAATATAAACTAGGGCATATCTATAGCTGTGACCATTTTTCTTCAGTCAAGTTCCATGTTCTACAAATTGCAATCCAAAAAAAAAAAGGCTCTTTGAGATTCAGTGGGCATAGATCTTCTGTTAAAGGGCAAATAATTTCAAGATGAATTAGCTCATGAGAGTTTCTTGGGGAAAAAAGGTACTAAAGGGAAGAGTCGCATTTTGGATGCTGTGAATATGGGTTATTCAGGATATCAGGCTGCTGATTCCAGTAGGCAGTGGTAACTGAGCTGCAGGTGTGTGATTGGAACAACAAAAGAAATGCTGAAATGTTAAGTCCTTTGCGGTGTAAATAGAAAGAGTAAAAGCATATTTATTGCCCAAACATAATTGGTCGCCTGTTTTTATTATGCCTTTCAAGACAAATCCAGGAAAGAAATTATATTTTCTTTCCAGAAACATCCTTAAAGATCTTGTTTAGTTGGTTGAAGGTTTTTCTCATTAACGAGTGAGTTTTCCATCACACTTGCCCCTGGGTCACTCTTAAATGCCTATAGGCACAGGCATAACCAGAATGATGAGGAGATTATCAGAGAATTTGGTTTTCTCAAGCTTCAGGGTAAACTCCTGGTCAGATCATTCTAGGTGCTGACTTTTCTTGACTTTGGGTTTCTTTTCCCCTCTTCCTCAAAAGATGAAATCCATCCTTCCTATTCTGTATTTTTGTTTAACCAATTCTAATAGCAAATGTTTGGTTTTAACTTGCATAATCCGGTTCCTTAATCTGGCATGAAATTGTTACCTGAAAAGGCTGCAAAGTGCTGACGTAAATATGGGAAAGCAAGAATTGCTTCTACTCAAAAGAGCAAATAGAATGTTCTGGAAGAGATTGGCAGGATGCGCTGCAAAGGGATGACCTCAGCCTGGGCCACTGCTGCACTGGGCAAAAGGCTGTGTAACACTCCCTGAAAATCTACTTCTTTATTGCTCTCTGGTAATAAAGTCACTTTCAATTTTTTTTTATAAGGTAAAATATTTTTATGACTCATATAGTGTTAGTGATTTTATTATGGTGAGTACTGCTTTCTAGGTGATTCTTATATATGTTCTTTTTTTTTTATTTTTAAGAAACTCCAAGTCTTTTATTTCACTCAGGAGCAATTATTTATTTTTATTTGTAAATGTCCATATCAGGGTATACAATTAAGCATTCTAATGATGTATTCTAATTAACAAGACTAAAGTCATAGGGAGATTGACTCAAGATGGCAGAGTAGAAGGACATGCTCTCATTCCCTTTTTTTTTAATTTTTAAATTTTATTTTATTTATTTTTTTATACAACAGGTTCTTATTAGTCATCCATTTTATACACATCAGTGTATACATGTCAATACCAATCTCCCAATTAATCACACTCCCACACCCACCTCCACCCCCCATGGCTTTCCCCCCTTGGTGTCCATACGTTTGTTTTCTACATCTGTGCCTCAACTTTTGCCCTACAAACCGGTTCATCTGTACCATTCTTCTACATTCCACATATATGCGTTCATATACGATATTTGTTTTTCTCTTTCTGACTTACTTCACCCTGTATGACAATATCTAGATCCATCCACGTCTCAACAAATGACCCAATTTCGTTCCTTTTTATGGCTGAGTAATATTCCATTGTATATATGTACCACTTCTTCTTTATCCATTCGTGTGTTGATGGGCATTTAGGTTGCTTCCATGACCTGGCTATTGTAAATAGTGCTGCAATGAACATTGGGGTGCATGTGTCTTTTTGAATTATGGCTTTCTCTGAGTATATGCCCAGTAGTGGGATAGCTGGATCATATGGTAATTCTATTTTTAGATTTTTAAGGAACTGCCGTACTGTTCTCCATAGTGGCTGTATCAATTTACATTCCCACCAGTGCTGCAAGAGGGTTCCCTTTTCTCCACACCCTCTCCAGCATTTGTTGTTTGTAGATATTCTGATGATGGCCATTCTGACTGGTGTGAGGTGATACCTCATTGTAGTTTTGATTGGCATTTCTCTAATAATTAGTGATGGTGAGCAGTTTTTCATGTGCTTCTTGGCCATATGTATGTCTTCTTTGGAGAAATGTCTATCTAGGTCTTCTGCCCATTTTTGGATTGGGTTGTTTGTTTTTTTAATATTGAGCTGCATGAGCTGTTTATATATTTTGGAGATTAATCCTTTGTCCGTTGATTTGTTTGCAAATATTTTCTCCCATTCTGAGGGTTGTCTTTTTGTCTTGTTTATGGTTTTCTTTGCTGTGCAAAAGCATCTAAGTTTCATTAGGTCCCATTTATTTGTTTTTGTTTTTATTTCCATTACCCTAGGAGGTGGATCAAAAAAGATCTTGCTGTGATTTATGCCAAAGAGTGTTCTTCCTATGTTTTCCTCTAAGAGTTTTATAGTGTTCCATCTTACATTTAGGTCTCGATTCCATTTTGAGTTTATTTTTGTGTATGGTGTTAGGGAGCGTTCTAATTTCATTCCTTTACATGTAGCTGTCCAATTTCCCAGCACTACTTATTGAAGAGACTGTCTTTTCTCCACTATATATCCTTGCCTCCTTTGTCATAGGTTAGTTGACCATACGTGCGTGGGTTTATCTCTGGGCTTTCTATCCTGTTCCATTGATCTATGTTTCTGTTTTTGTGCCAGTACCATATTGTCTTGATTACTGTAGCTTTATAGTATAGTCTGAAGTCAGGGAGTCTGATTCCTCCAGCTCCGTTTTTTTCCCTCAAGACTGCTTTGGCTATTCGGGGTCTTTTGTGTCTCCATAAAAATTTTAAGAGTTTTTGTTCTAGTTCCGTAAAAAGTGCCATTGGTAACTTGATAGGGATTGCATTGAATCTGTAGATTGCTTTGGATAGTATAGTCATTTTCACAATGTTGATTCTTCCAACCCAATAACATGGTATATCTCCCCATCTGTTGGTATCATCTTTAATTTCTTTCATCAGTGTCTTATAGTTTTCTGCATACAGGTCTTTTGTCTCCCTAGGTAGGTTTATTCCTAGGTATTTTATTCTTTTTTTGCATTGGTAAATGGGAGTGTTTTCTTAATTTCTCTTTCAGGTTTTTCATCATTAATGTATAGGAATGCAAGAGATTTCTGTGCATGAATTTTGTATCCTGCATCTTTACCAAATTCATTGTTTAGCTCTAGTAGTTTTCTGGTGGCATCTTTAGGATTCTCTATGTATAATATCATGTCATCTGCAAAGAGTGACAGTTTTACTTCTTCTTTTCCAATTTGGATTCCTTTTATTTCTTTTTATTCTCTGATTGCTGTGGCTAGGACTTCCAAAACTATGTTGAATAAGAGTGGTGAGAGTGGGCAACCTTGTCTTGTTCCTGATCTTAGTGGAAATGCTTTCAGTTTTTCACCATTGAGAATGATGTTGGCTGTGGGTTTGTCATATATGGCCTTTATTATGATGAGGTAGGTTCCGTCTATGCCCATTTCCTGGAGAATTATCATAAATGGGTGTTGAATTTTGTCAAAAGCTTTTTCTGCATCTATTGAGGTGATCATATGGTTTTTATTCTTCAATTTGTTAATATGGTGTACCACATTGATTGATTTGCGTATATTGAAGAATCCTTGCATCCCTGGGAAAAATCCCGCTTGATCATGGTGTGTGATCCTTTTAATGTGTTGTTGGATTCTGTTTGCTAGTACTTTGTTGAGGATTTTTCCATCTATATTCATCAGTGATATTGGTCTGTAATTTTCTTTTTTTGTAGTATCTTTGTCTGGTTTTGGAATCGGGGTGATGGTGGCCTCATAGAATGAGTTTGGGAGTGTTCCTTCCTCCATAATTTTTTGGAAGGGTTTCAGAAGGATGGGTGTTAGCTCTTTTCTAAATGTTTGATACAATTCACCTGTGAAGGCATCCGGTCCTGGGCTTTTGTTGGAAGATTTTTAGTCACAGTTTCAATTTCATTAGTTGTGATTGGTCTGTTCATATTTTCTATTTCTTCCTGGTTCAGTCTTGGAAGGCTAAACCTTTCTAAGAATTTGTCCATTTCTTCCAGGTTGTCCATTTTATTGGCATAGAGTTGCTTGTAGTAGTCTCTTAGGATGCTTTGTATATCTGTGGTGTCTGTTGTAACTTCTCTTTTTTCATTTCTAATTTTCTTGATTTGAGTCCTCTCCCTCTTTTTCTTGATGATTCTGGCTAATGGTTTATCAATTTTGTTTATCTTCTCAAAGAACCAGCTTTTAGTTTTATTGATCTTTGCTATTGTCTTCTTTGTTTCTATTTCATTTATTTCTGCTCTGATCTTTAGATTTCCTTCCTTCTGCTAACTTTGGGTTTTGTTTGTTCTTCTTTCTCTAGTTCCTTTAGTGTAAGGTTAGATTGTTTATTTGAGATTTTTCTTGTTTCTTGAGGTAGGCTTGTATAGCTATAAACTTCCCTCTTAGAACTGCTTTTGCTGCATCCCATAGGTTTTGGATGGTTGTGTTTTCATTGTCCTTTGTCTCTAGGGATTTTCTGATTTCCTCTATGATTTCTTCAGTGATCTCTTGCTTATTTAGTAATATATTGTTTAGCCTCCATGTGTTTATGTTTTTTTCGGTTTTTTTCCCTGTCATTCATTTCTAATCTCATAGTGTTCTGGTCAAAAAAGATGCTTGATATGATTTCAATTTTCTTAAATTCACTGAGGCTTGATTTGTGACCCAGGATGTGATCTATCCTGGAGAATGTTCCATTCGCACCTGAGAAGAAAGTGTAATCTGCTGTTTTTGGATGGAATGTCCTATAAATATCAATTAAATCTATCTGTTCTATTGTGTCATTTAAAGCTTCTGTTTCCTTATTTATTTTCATTTTGGATGATCTGTCCATTGGTGTAAGTGAGGTATTAAAGTCCCCCATTATTATTGTGTTATTGTTGACTTCCTCTTTTATAGCTGTTAGTAGTTGCGTTATGTATTGAGGTGCTCCTATGTTGGGTGCATAAATGTTTACAATTGTTGTATCTTCTTCTTGGCGTGATCCCTTGATCATTATGTAGTGTCCTTCCTTGTCCCTTGTAACATTCTTTATTTTAAAGTCTATGTTATCTGATGTGAGGATTGCTACTGCAGCTTTCTTTTGATTTCCATTTGCATGGTATATCTTTTTCCATCCCCTCACTGTCAGTCTGTATGTGTCCCTAGGTCTGAAGTGGGTCTCTTGTAGACAGCATATATATGGGTCTTGTTTTTGTATCCATTCAGTGAGCCTGTGTCTTTTGGTTGGAGCATTTAATCCATTCACGTTTAAGGTAGTTATTGATATGTATGTTCCTATGACCATTTTCTTAATTGTTTTGATTTTTTTTTTGTAGGTCCTTTTCTTCTCCTGTGTTTCCCACTTAGAGAAGTCCTTTAGCATTTGTTGTAGAGCTGGTTTGGTGGTGCTGAATTTTCTTAGCTTTTGCTTGTCTGTAAAGCTTGTGATGTCTCCATCGAATCTGAATGAGATCCTTGCTGGGTAGAGTAATCTTCGCTGTAGGTTCTTCCCTTTCATCACTTAAAGTATATCATGCCAGTCCCTTCTGGCTTGTAGAGTTTCTGCTGAGAAATCAGCTGTTAACCTTATGGGAGTTCCCTTGTATGTTACTTGTCATTTTTCCCTTGCTGCTTTCAGTAATTTTTCTTTGTCTTTAATTTTTGCCAATTTGATTATTATGTGTCTCAGCATGTTTCTCCTTGGGTTTATGCTGTATGGGACTCTCTGTGCTTTCTGGACTTGGGTGGCTATTTCCTTTCCCATGTTAGGGAATTTTTCGACTATAATCTCTTCAGATATTTTCTCTGGTCCTTTCTTTCTCTCTCTTCTCCTTCTTGGACCCCTATAATGCGAATGTGTTGTGTTTAATGTTGTCCCAGAGGTCTCTTAGGCTGTCTTCATTTCTTTTCATTCTTTTATCTTTATTCTGTTCCGCAGCAGTGAATTCCACCATTCTGTCTTCCAGGTCACTTATCCGTTCTTCTGCCTCAGTTATCCTGCTATTGATTCCTTCTAGTGTAGTTTTCATTTCAGTTATTGTATTGTTCATCTCTGTTTGTTTGTTCTTTAATTCTTCTAGGTCCTTGTGAAACATTTCTTGCATCTTCTCAATCTTTGCCTCCATTCTTTTTCCGAGGCCCTGGATCATCTTCACTATCATTATTCTGAATTCTTTTTCTGGAAGGTTGCCTGTCTCCACTTCATTTAGTTTTTCTGCGGTTTTACCTTGTTCCTTCATCTGGTACATAGCCCTCTGCCTTTTCATCTTTTGTATCTTTCTATGAATGTAGTTTTTGTTCCACAGGCTGCAGGATTGTAGTTCTTTTTGCTTCTCCTGTCTGCCCTCTCAGTAAAAGTTTTAAATATCACAAAATTGATTTGATTGTCAGCAGCAGATTGTTTGCTGAGTTTCAGTTTCTGCTAGTGTGGTAGGGTCTCCTGCAGAGGTGGGGGGTGGCTGTGTCTCACCGTGAGGACAAGGACACTGGTAGCAGAAGTTTTGGGAAGTACTCCTTCTCTTGTAGATGTTTCTGAGTCCATTATTCTTATAGTACCACTTCTTTCATTTTCCTCAACTGTTTATAATACACAACAATTTTGACAAATTTATTAACATTTTTTTAAACAGTATTTTCTAGCATTGAAAACATATAAGCCTAGCCAATAGTGTTCTTCTTTCTGTTGAAGATTAGCAACACACATGTAGATTCTAAGTGCAAGGCCCTGTGCTGTGCTCTCTTTTATCTTGGCAGCAATTCCACAAGGGAGATATTATGTTTCTCTGCTGTAGATGTGGATTCTATAGGATCAGAGGAAAGAGAAACTTGCTTAAGATGGCATAGCTATAACCAGGAGAGCTGAGAGTCACACCCCAGTGAGATTCCCAAGTCATAATCTGCCTTCAATACCAAATAATTAAAATAGGTAGGCTAGACCACATTAGACTGGGAGTCACAATGTAGATTGGGAACATTGAACTTCGTTTTCTTCATCAGAGGGCTCCGGATTACATTTTTTTCAGACTTAAAAAAAAAAAGATTTCCTCTGAATTCTACAACTTGAGAATGAGAACTTTTCTGAGTTGTACAAGCATGTGTAACTAAATGCCGGGCGCAGCTATTGCTACTTCCCACCAACACTCTCTACTTGTCTGTTTTATCTTTGCTCTTTCCCTTGCAAGAGCTGAATAGGAGGATCACAAGTGACTCTAGTTTTGATGGTCCTGGAAGAGTAGGACGGAGGTTGAAGGCAGCATTGTCTTCTCTTCTCACCAGCCTCTGCACTCCCTGTTTTCTGCTTATTGGTGCATTTAAACCTCTTCTGCGTGTGTTAAAAAAATTGTTCACATTTGTAGTTCAGACTAAAGGATCAGAAGTATGATTGCAAATAATTATACTGAAAGGAGAGAGACAGGGAGGATGCAGCATCTACTCACTTATAATTTTTCAAAAATTACCTGTAACAGAATCACTTGGGTTCTTTTTTTTTAATTAATTAATTAATTATTTATTTACTTTTGGCTGTATCGGACCTTTGTTGCTGAGCGTGGGCTTTTCTCTGGTTGTGGCGAGCAGGGGCTACTACTCTCTTGCAGTGCGCAGGCTTCTCATTGCGGTGGCTTCTTTTGTTGAGCATGGGCTCTAGGCACATGGGCTTCAGTAGTTGTGGCACATGGGCTCAGTAGTTGTGACTTGCGGGCTCTAGAGCGCAGGCTCGGTAGTTGTGGTGCACAGGCTTAGTTGCCCCACGGTATGTGGGATCTTCCCAGACCAGGGTTCGAACCCGTGTCCCCTGCATTGGTAGGTGGATTCTTAACTACTGCGCCATCAGGGAGGCCCCATTTGCAGATTCTGGAGGCCTACTGCAGACTCAGTCAGTTTCTCTGAGTGGTGGGCCTGAAACTCTGCATTTTAACAGGTTTCTCAGGTGATTTTTACTCATGCTAAGGCTTGAGAACCACTCCTCTATGGCTTATATGTTATTTTCAAGGTTCCCCAAAGTCAAGCTAGAACTTCTAAAATGTTAACAATCCGTTAGGGAATCCCAGAATTGTCTTGTTCCTTTATAAGTCATTATTCTCATATCCACACTTAATTACTTAAAACACCAACCAACCAACCAACAAACAAAAAATTATCAGTGTCATTAATCTTAAAAATTAATAAAGAAGTGAATAAAGATATAAAAATAATATAATAATCATAGTAATAATTATTAAGATTATTGTAATTTAAAAATAATATTTATAGGTATTATATGCAAGACACTGGTACATTCATTATGATCCATCTCCCTTTCAGATAAGGTAACTGAGGCCCAGAGAGGTTATATAACTTGCACAAGGTCACACAGCTCATGCAGGGTAGAACAAGGATCAGAACACAGAGAGAAAGATTTGAGAGTCTATGTTCAGATTTTTAATTCCAAGATGCCTGATATTTGAAAAGTAAATAAGCATCCCAAATCTTATTTATTTTTTTATAGAACAGAACTGAAACTGACCCGGAAGGCAGCCTATGTGAGATACTTCAATAGCTCAGCCTTCTTCTTCTCAGGGTTCTTTGTAGTGTTTTTATCTGTGTTTCCTTATGCACTGCTTAATGGAATCGGCCTTCGAAAAATATTCACAACCATCTCATTCTGCATCGTTCTGCGCATGGCAGTCACTCGGCAGTTCCCCTGGGCTGTACAAACTTGGTATGATTCTCTTGGAGCAATAAACAAAATACAGGTAATGTACCAAAATGGGGCATCATACACAATGAATTTAGAACAGTTTAGAACTTTTCTCATGAGCAAACTCTCTGGAGAGGTATTCTTGGCCTTGGGCCTGTTTGATGCACAGTATTTCCTCTCTTGATGTCTGTATGTGGTCTAATGAGCCCTTGTAATGAAAGCCTAGTGAAATAAAATGAAGACCTGTGAAATTCTCTTAAGTCAGAGAAATTGAAGAAAATATTGTTTCTGTATTCTGGAGATTTTTATTCAAGTAATCAATCAGTAGAGCAGTTCTAATGAACTTGGCAAATGTGCAAAATGCTGGTGGCAGATTCATCCGGAAGTTATAAGTTTTTCCAGCTAACACTAGGAGTGTTCACCTTAAACTTTTCCAAGTGTTTTTCTGGACTGTATGATGGATGACAGTGGCATTTTGTGATACATTAATTACCTTAAAATATCAGCAAGGTGATGTAGCTGGTAATTTTGAAGAGAGGTTCTAAAGTCCTCAGGTAATGAGACTCAGTGCAAAGCTAACAGAATCAGCACCATAACCTTGGGTGTGGTTTTAATTTTTATAATTAATATACAGTTCAAAATGTTTTATTATACTTGTTTGATATCCATTTAAATATTTAACCAGAAAATAAATCATTGTGACATAAATTTTAAAAATGAGGGTGAAGGGTGAGCCACTTTTAGGTAGTTCTGCCATTATTTAGCCTAGGCCAGAGTTTGCAAATGGTGGCCCATGGACTTAATTTTGGCCCTTGACCTGTTTTATTTGACCTTTACATTCAAAAACAAAACAAAACAAAAAAACCTAAAACAATGCATTTGAATTAGTTGGCAGCATTTAAAAATTGTGTGCTGTCACATATACAGCAAATCATGTCTTCAGCCTCTTTTGAAAATTTGAAGTATACCGTCAACTGGGTCCTCTTCCCTCACAAGCTGTGGCAGCTCCCCACTCAGAGAGGGTCTGCCCTCTCCAGTTCATCACAGTCTCTACTTAGCCACCTTCCTTAGTTTTATCATCTTGAAAATATGTGAGTTTGAGATCTGCAATTTAGACAAATTGGTGAATGTAGCTCAGAACCATGGCAGCTCTTGGACTAGTCTTATTTCTTCTGTTAGTCCATCACAGCCATGTGAGAGGTGGTGGGGAGACAGAGAAAGAGAGAGAGAAACAGACATAGAGACCCAAAGAGAATGCATCAGAGAAACAGATTCACTAAACAGGAATACAGACAGAGAAACAGATCTTAAAAACAAAACTGGGAGAAAAAGAGGGAAACCAAAATAAAGATAGTGAGTGAATTGAAGAGGTGAGAAGGGAAAAAGTTAGCAAGGACAAGACTTTTAAAACTACCTCCTGTGAAGAAGACTTCAGGATGCATAAACCTAATTCTTCCTCATGCTCCCACCATCTCTAGGAGCACTGTGATTCTGAGTCGCTAATAGAGCCCTTCTTTTAGAATCAAGGTTTGATGCCCTAAAATCAGTTATATCAGATCTTCACACCTTTACTTAACCCAGAGAAGTGATGCTAATGATGCCTCTAATAAGGAGGGTGCTATAAAGATGAAGATAATAGTTTTCTCTCTCTTAATGTTGAATTGAGGCAATTGGTGGGTAATTCAGGTGTGCTTTATAAATTCATCACTAAGGTTAACATGTACAGTACAAGGATGAATCAGTGGTATGTTAAAAATCTAATGTATAAAAACAGTTTTATAAAATATTACATTTCAAAATGATTAATTCTAGTACTTGGCAAATTAACTTTAGAACACTTATAAAATTATTTTATTAAGAAACAATTTCTAATATAATTCATAAAATCCAAGTACAGAATGCATCACTATTAGAGTGTAAAATAGATGTAATAATGTATTAATGGTATCCTGGTTCTGCAATACGTTTTTGCTCTCTTTTGCAAACAGGATTTCTTACAAAAGCAAGAGTATAAGACACTGGAATATAACTTAACAACTACAGAAGTAGTGATGGAGAATGTAACAGCCTTCTGGGAGGAGGTCAGGTATTTTTTGTTTTTGTTTGTTCTAAATATTTAAGCTTTGCTTGTTTGTGGTTCTGGTTTTCATCCAAATGGGCAATAAAGTTAGCATGATGATAGAACTTATTTTATAGATTAAGAGGTAGAGGCCCAGGAATATTAAATACGATACGCAAGCCTCGTTATTTTTCTCTAAGTCATGTAATTTGTTTCACATAACAAATTAGGAAGTAATACAAAGCTCATAGGTTTTGGAGCCAGATAGAGCAGGGTTTGAATCCTCGTTCTGCCATTTACTATCTGTGTAATCTAGACCAAGTTACTGAACTTTGTGGAGCCTCTTGTTCTTCATCTATAAAATGGGAATATTAATATATACCTTGCAAGTTTGTTGTGAGGATTGACTGAGATAACTTATGGAAAGTATTCAGCATAGTACCATGCACATAATAGTTCCTCACTAAATGCTACCCTCTCTGATCTCAAGTTCCAATCCAATGCAATTTACATACACCAGTCACCATAAAGGTGTATGAGAAATAGACCAATGTATTGTTTTCTACTATTTTTACTTATTTTAATTCACTACTAAAAATTCTGTAGTAAATATTTCTCATGGTCAGAAAAAATATTATTAATGATTTTTCAGCTTCTAAAGAAGTAATATTTGATTATTGAGAATACCTGTTGAGTTCCTCTTTCCTTATCATTTTTTTATGTTGAGTAAACATAGGAGTTATGAAACCAATGTCCCACTTCTACATATTTCACAATATCTTTAATTGGTTTTATTTACATAAGTAACTTGACCTCAAGGGCTTTACTATACTTCATTTTTTTAGACATAGGTAAGAGAATAATTCTTTATCTGCCCAGAAAAATTGTGGAGAGGTGTGTGGATCAGGTTGATTTTACTTCTTTGATTTTAGGAATTTCAAATGCCTTTCTAGGCATGAAGAAAAATAAGAAGTTTGACAGTACTTACAGACAATTGTTTTTCTAATCTCCATTTCACTCTGCTTTCATCTAATAAAATAGGTAGCATGTTTGAGCCCTTACAATCTGCCAGGTACTAGATAAGCACTTTATATATTTTGTCTTATTTCTCATAACATTCCTATGATGAAATCTTAATGTTTCCATTTTGCTGATAAGGGAATGGAGGCTTAGGAAGGTTACAGAACCTGGCTCAGCTCACAGAACAGGCAAGGGCTGAAGTCAGGTTTTGGACCCAAATGTCACAGTCTACCACTCTTTCAGTGAACCTTCCATCTGGCTGTATCCTCATCCTCCAGACTCTGTCAGCTGTCAAATTCTGGACACCCCTTGATGATATTTACCCAGGATAGTGGTGCTTGTTAAATCTCTGCCATCATGTCTGAAACTTCAGCACCCATATGAGAAATCCTTCCAGTACTGTCCTCAGAACTTACATTTTACAGTTAGTTCAGAAGCTTCCTTTCATGGTCACATGCTGAGCTTGGTGAGCACCTAGACTTACTCCACTTTAGAAATATCACACTCTGGAATCTCTTTCTTAGTTCAGAATTTCCTAACCTTAGCTCTCTCAGTCTCTTCATCCCACCTTTACTGCCTTCCAATTTCATGAAGATTTCTAGGCTCCTTAGTTCTCCCTTTTGGACTACTCCTGGTTTAACCTTCACCAATGACAACACCAGTCACTTCAGTTCTTCTCCCAGCAGCACCCTCAATTCCCTTTTCCTTTCACTGAATCTTTTGCTACAAAACATTCACTTGATATCTTTGACGAAGGAGGTGCTATCTGGGAAAATCATATACTCTAGTCAGTTATAAGTTTTATACAGTTATTGTTTCAACTTCAAATGGGCCTATAAACTTTCTTGGGAAATCTTTTCATTTGTATTTAGTTAATTTTCTTTACCATTTCTCTAAAAGCTTTTCCAGATTTTTAGCACTTTCCTGAAACTCCCAATCTCTCCTAGGTTCTGCTCACCCCCAGCAGATGGCCTTGACTTCTGTAAGATATAGAGAAAATATATAGATGCTATAAAATATGCAGCATCATGTATGAATACTTATAACTTCTTTCTTAACCCTTGGGATTATTTTTTTCTTCTCTTTCTTATCTAAGTGAAAGATGTATGCTTCCTCCTGCCTTTGACTAAACCGTTATCATCTTGTTTCGTCTTCTCAGGACATGGGGCCAGCAATTAGTCTCTCTCTACAAGTTTTAACATCTTTTTTTCAACTGACTCCTTTTCACATTTAAATATTTTCAAGTTAAAAAAATTTCTTTTCTGACTTTTGCCCACCCAGCCTCATCCTCCAAGCTTTATCATTCTGCTTCCTTTTGCCATCAAAGCTGTTCTTACTTCGTCATCTTTTATGACTTTTCCCTGCTGCAATCTGGATTCTGCCCTTACCAATACATTAAAACTTTTCTTTTAAAAATACTTATTTAACTTAGCTTTAGTGAACTACTCTTTCCATGTCATCTTATATTCCGACCATGACTTCTGAGTCTTCCCTGCCTGCCTCTTCAATGGTGATGGGCCATTGTGTCTGCACCTAGGCTTCCTTCTGGCATTTCATACTCTCTGGGTGACTCAGGCTCACCTGACATCAATGTGCTGATGACTCTCAAAGGCAAATCTCTAGCCCCAGTTTCTTTCCTGAACTTCATACATTATTTCCAAATTCCCTGCAAGCTCCTCAGGCACCCACATTTATCACTCCCCAAGCTTCGTAAATCTGCTCCTTCCATTGTCTTCTCCACCCATTTGATGATGTCACCGTTCACCCAGTTATTCAAGAGGCAAGTCCCTGATGAGTTATATATGACTCTTCCCTCACACCACACAAACTGAATAGGTACAATTTCTATTTATGTATTAGGAAGCTGAGCTTTAGGGATTTTAAGTAACTAGAACAAGGTTATACAACTGGTTAGGAGAGAGCCAAAAGGTCAGCCTAGGTTTCTCTGCCTCTAATTAAAAGAAATGGACTAATGCTTTACTGTATACAAAATACTTTCATATATATTACCTCATTTAAAACCCTCAACAACTCAGGAGACTGAAATTCAGAATGTCATGATTTATTACCCAGCTAGTTGAGAAGATGAGACAGAGACTGAAGTAAAGACAAAGGATATCATAATCCTTCCTCTGACAACCACAGGGGACTTGTAAACATGGAACATGTTCAACTTTACTAGGTATCAAATAAAAATAAGATCAATAGTGAGATTCCATTTTCACCTATAAAACAGAAAAAACAGAACAAAACAAAACAAAATAAATCCCAAACCAGAAAGCAACAGTGTTGATAATGGTTCCTCAAATCTAGCACTCTCATACCTTAATGGAGGAAAATTTGGAACTACTTTTCAAAAGACTTAGAATTTTTGCTATACCTTTTGCCCTGGAAATCCCACGTTTGGGAATTTATACTTATATATTAAAAAAAAAGAGATTTGCTCCAAGATTTATGGCAAAGTCCATGCATCACAGAATTATTAAGTTAAAAAGAAAACCATATAATGTCAAAAATAGAGAACTATTTATAGTTTATCCATACTCTTGGATACTATCCTGCAACTTAAAATTATATTTAAAAGAATGTTTAATGGTATGTGAAAATATTTATGATTTATTGTAAGTCAGAAAAAGCAGGTCACAAACCTTATGTATAATTTTTCCTTAATGTTGTAAAATATCATATATATGATTATATATATATATATATGTGAAGGAGTGGAGGGGTATCATTAAAATGTTAAACATGGTTTCTTCTCAGTGGTAGGATTACAGGTGATTATTTTTTTCTTCTTGCTGCTTTCCTCTGTTTACCAAATTTCCTGAAATAAGTGTTTTACTTCTGTACTCAGAAATTAAAGTTATTAGTAAAAACAACCTTCCATTGGTCCAAGGGTTTATTGGATAAAAGTCCTATTTCTAAGCATGGCACATGAGCCCCTTAATAGCCTGCACTGCCCACCTTACCAAGGATACCCTTTGTCATCTTACCATATACATCTCACCTAGCCACTCACCATTCCTGAGATGTATTTTTTTCTTTCAAGCCTAAAATGTGCATGCAGATCCTTCTTCCTGGAACACCTAGACTATTTCTTGCTCTTGTGAAATAACCACTTACATCCTTCATAGCCTAGTACTGTGTCATTTACTTGGTCAAATTCCAGACTGAGTCAGTTGCTTTCTCTAATGTGCTCCTATAGGACTTGGTGTGAATTTTCAGTTGTAGCACTAAACACATTGCAGTATTAATATCTATCCATATGTTATTCTCCTATGTGGGATTTTTGAAGTGGTCTTTTTAAAAAATATTTATTTGTTTATTTGGTTGTGCTTGGTCTTAGTTGCGGCACGTGGGATCCTCGGGGATCTTTAGTTGCAGCATGCGGACTCTTAGTTGCCGCAAGCGGGATCTAATTCCCTGACCAGGGATCGAACCCAGGCCCCCTGCATTGGGAGCATGGAGTGTTAACCGCTGGACCACCAGGGAAGTCCCTGAAGTGGTCTTTAATACAGAGGTGATGCTCAAGAAATGTCTATTAGTTAAATAAATGAATAAAGGAATAACATGCCTTTGTCTCATTTAAAGACTTTTCATTGCCTACTTCTTAAAAGCTTTGCTTTTAGTTATCTGTTAACTGAAAGGGATGTTAGCCATCCATATCATAAGAATTCAAGCAGTGGTCTTTAAGCTTAATTGCTTATGTATGCCCTAAAATAGTTCTGAAAAACTATGTATATCTGATACATTTTAAGTTGACTTTTCAACTTAAAAACTAATTTTTCAACATAGGTTTAAGTGGTGTCAAAGAATGTAATTCTTGTCTATTGTATATTGTTTTCATATGTTAAATAATTTTTTTCAAAACTTGGGAGCTGCAGTTTCAGTGCAATTTCATGGGAAATAAATGAATTTATGAAGTCAGGTCTCATTGTCAAGCCAATCAGCTAAATGTGACTTGCTTTATGTCAGGAAAGTGTGACTTGACTTTAAAATACAGATAATAATTTGTATTAAATTATTAACTCATTAAAATTAAATAAATAATAAGTTAATTAAAATATCTTATTTCTCAATTCATTTCTGAAATCTGATTCTGAGATGATAAGACACATAGATCGCCATCAGTTTGAAACTTGGGTGAAATAAGATGTTACCTCCTTCAGTATTTCTGGCTTTGCTTTTATGGGATCACCTTTCAGGAGAAAATCATTCTCTTACGGTCCCCTTGTTTGTATTATTGAGCTTTTTACACTCCAGAAAATGCAATGTAACTAAACTTAGGACTAGTGAGAAGGCTGCCTCTTCTGTGTAAAGTGAGGGAAGGACAATTGTGAGCAGGAAGTGGGAAAGAGAAATGACAAACAGCAGGCAAATTCTCAGGCAGACTAACTTTAGGAAGGAGTACTTTTGCATGTTGAGGATGTGGGAATACATTCCGTTAAAACTGTGTGCACTACCTTCCTCCTGATAATCTGTAGTGCTGCTTACTTTGGTTTGAAGACCACTACGCTAAAGCTTTCCATGGGGCAGTATAGAAGCAGGGCACTTTCAAAAGAGAATTCTTTCTCCCAGCTACTCTTACAAAAATGGAATTCATTCAAATCATATGGCAGTATCATCATATTTACACTTAATAATAGCTAATTAAAGAAATGCTTTGAGCTTCTCAGAGGAAGGTACTACCAGCATGATAGAGCAGAAGATCTGGGTTGTAATTCTACTCAGGCCTACTACTTACGTGACTTTAGTTGCTTAACTTCTTTGAGTCACAGTCTACAGCTTTGAAAGAGGATTATAAAATCTACCTCATATATTGTTATTCTACTGAAGATTAAATAATTATGTTTATGTACCCAGCCTATAGGAGAGGATATATATTTATGTGTGTGCATATATTTACATCACACGCACACATATATATAGATAGATACCTTTATATATGTAGATAGATACCTTTAATTAAATTTGGCGGTGAGCAAGAATCTGAGAAATTGAAATTATTATAATTTTCAGATGTTTTGGATTATGTGCTCTAGAAATCATGTGCTATCAATTGTGTGCTGTAAAGTATGGGTCATGTGCCATGTGCTTTTCAAACTAATCATACATAATGCAAATAGCTATTGAAAATATCTGAAAAACATGTTTGTTTGTTTTTTTACAGGGATTTGGGAAATTATTTGAGAAAGCAAAACAAAATAATAACAATAGAAAAATTTCCAATGGTGATAACAGCCTCTTCTTCAGTAACTTCTCACTTCTCGGTGCTCCTGTCCTGAAAGATATCAGTTTCAATATAGAAAGAGGACAGTTGTTGGCCGTCGCTGGATCTACTGGAGCAGGCAAGGTAGTCTCATTTATACCTCATTATGAAGATCTTAACTTGACATGATTTTCTCCTTTCTTTTTCTAGTTTGTCTGTAATGTAATAAGGTGTTTTGGAGAAATTCTTACATTGGTATTAGGAGAATACTTGGATATAGAGTTCCTTATAATATAAATTCCACTGATAGCATCCTCTAGCCTTTTATTTCTTCCTATTATATTCAGTGACTTTTTCTTTTATATCTTTATATTTTGGACACTGCTCAGCACAGCGTCATGCACATACAGGATGAGCATTCAATAACTTTACTGAACAAATAAAGCATCCATTTTTACCAGTCTGTGGCACAGACATTTTCTCAGAGCTGGTCCAGGAAAATCATGGCTTAGATTTTACTTCAGTAACTGCATGTAAAAGGTCCCATTTTGTTGACATTAGAATTTTGGAGAATGGACTCAGACTTGCTTATGATTTATTATGAGGAAAAATTATTGAGTTGGGACAGTTTTTTGAAGGCAATACATAGGAATGTTAATTTATTCAGTGCTGGTCAGCCTCAACACCTGCCCCCACCCCAACTAATTATAAACCATGGATATTTGGAGATATATCTGACAAAAATTAATAGGTTAGAAAGCTAAAGGGTCAAAGTTTATTGTCAGAAGAAGACTTTATAGTGATCTTCAAAGACCTGAGTTATTGTTCAGATAATTATAAACACTTGTTGTCTTTATCCAGGAAATAAATTTAAAGGGCATGAAGGAATAAAATCAGGGATAAGAAAGGGCCTCCTGGCTTTGGAATGGGCTACTAAGGATAATAGGTATTTGCTTTGAAAGTCTATTAAAAATAGGTTCTTCATCCCATTTGATTATAATTTTAGCTTTGATGAAAGAAAAGGCAGGAAGGAAGAAAGGGAGGGAGGAAGGGAGGGAGGAAGGAAGGAGCAGTGCTGCTATAAGATAAAAATGTAAATAAAAATAGAAATACTCCTGAAAGACAGTTATTTATTAATGTCTAATTTAGGAAGAACCATATTTTGAAGAATTTAGTCTGAGACGTGGGAAACAAAATGCCATAGAAAATTTCTAATCATTGAATTTGGTGTTCATAGTGCTGGTGATATACAGTTTGCTTATTTCTCTCTCCAGGTACATTCTCCCACATGAGAAACAGGCCCTTCAATAAAGTAGCTGTAGTTGTGCATTTTCTTCTTAGAAAAATGTGTTTCTTCTTCAAGTGCTACTTTTTCCTTCTATTTCTTGTATAATATTACTAGCAATTATCACTATTAAAAGAAAATGATACCATAGGAGGAGTTGCTAATAAGCAAGTCACAGATGATCTAAACAAGAATGATTGCTTGTGAGCAGACAGTAATAGTATTTCACAGAATTTTTAAAATTAATTTTGTTTAGGTGTTTAAAATTACTTCTTTAAAGGTGTAAACAAATAGCTTTGGGATTACAGGTTACAAGGCTTAACCAGCAATTAAATTTCAGGCAACTCTATTAAGAACTGATGAGCAGATAATTGCTGGCTGGAGTTACAGTTGCATCTTCTGGGAAGTAGACATGAAGATGGAGTCAGATGGAGGCAGTGACCCCTTAGGAATAATTAAACCCCTCTGAGAAACAACTTGGCAACTCAGTCTAGGAGGATGTCCTTTCATAGTATAGGAATGGAGCATTTTATAATCTTATTAGATAAAAGGTCTAACTAAAATATAAGATAGAATAATTGAAAATATTCACATTTCAAGATAAATCCTGCACCACTCAATTTGGTAATTTGTATATCCAAAGCCTTAAAAATAACCAAATAACTTGTCGATTTGTATGACTTATCCTAGTATGTTTGCAGAGATTTTATATATTCATCACAACATAGTTTCAGTAGCCCAAAATTGGGGGAAGCCCTAAATATCTAACAATAGGGGATTGATTTGATAAATTTTGGTGTAGCTATATAATGGCATGTTATTCAGTCAGGCTAAGGGATGTTAAAAAATGACTCTTAAGATACTCTTAAGTGAAGAAAGACAACAGGTTATAAAATAATATGTACATTATGATCTGCATTTTATAAAAGCATATATATGTGTATACTTGTGTCCAGAAGGACATTATGGATCAAGTAGCTATCTCTGAGATTTTGGTTGTATTTTATATCTCTGGAAATCCGGAGATATAAAATACAATAAGGTCAGGTATAAGGATTAGATAAGGAAATGTATAGAAAGCCCTTGATGCAGTACTTGGAACAAAGTACATGCTTAATAAATGGTAGTTGTTTCTACTGTTGTTAAAACTTTGTAGAAAAGCAAGAAAATGCAGATAGAACAAAAAATATCAGGGAAAAAATGCACATTATTCCTAATTTCACCTGTTAGGGATAATCGGGTAAATATTTTGAAATATTTTTCTTCTAGACATTTTCCTATATATATGTGTTTATAAAAACCAAAATAGGATTATTCTCTAATACTGTATTGTAACCAATTTCACTCAGCTAGAAATCAAACACATCACAAAGCTTTATCTGCAGAACACAGTCATTCGCAATGGCTGCGTAGCATTACATGTTTTTGTTGAATATTCAGATTATTGCCAAGTTATTTTTGTATAAATGATGTTGTGATGGCATTCTCTATTATTTGTAAATCGATTGATCTGTATCTTTGTGCATTTCATAATTTTCTAATGATCAGTTTCTAAGACTAGGATTGCAGAGTCAAAGAGTTTACAGATTTTAAAACCTAATTTTTATTGGACGGTTTAATTTTTGAATAAAACACACGTCTTAGTCTCTTAAAAAAACCCAGTAAGGTCAGGTTTAATTTTATCACTCTCCCTTGTTATTAATGTCTAGACTGTAGGGGAACCATGTCTTGTTTGTTTTTATATTCCAAGGACTATCATAGTACCTAGCATGTAATAGGTGCTTGATATAAATTTATTTAATTGAATGTCTTTGGGAAAATGAATTTTGGGGGGGGTTCTAATCTACATTCCATATCTTTCATTTATGAAACTTCCTTGAATTATTTTAATTAAGCAGTATTGGTGTAAGAGTCTACACTCCTGGGTATCCCCAGCTAAAGGCTGGCTTATGGTATCGCCCCCAGGGTGTGGGGATTTTTAGTTCTTCTGTTGTCTACACAACTGAAGCAGGTCTGTGGCCTTGCTGACAACCCCTGACAGCACATAGTCTCTGTCTTCTGCCCTGGCTGACCTTGCTCTGGAACTCTTAGCTTGCTCTGCTAATAACTGAGTATCAGATGTGTGGAATGGCTGTTGGCTTCTGTTTTTGCTTACTTTTTAAATAAAATACAAAGTCTGCCAAGTTTTATCAATATTTGGTATTTTATATTTATATTATATTCAATGATTACATTTAACTTCATATCTCTCAAAATACCAAAATATTGATAAATGTTTATATTGATAAATATTATATATTTATCTATATAAGTTTATATAAATAAATATTGTTAAATATATATTTAACCTTTGTATTTAATATATACAAACCTATATTTAACCTGTATATTGTGTGCATATATATGTATACATATATATGTATATATACACATATAATATATGCCTACACATATATATATTTATATATTATATATATAGATATGTAATCCATATATAATCAGATCCATTCCATTGTTGGGATTTATAAAGCTGTTCTATATGAAAATAACACTTCTAGTTTTAATTTTTATATAGAAGAATTTTATGTAGAAATAAGGAATTTTGGAATTTTTTTCCCTATACAATAAGAATTTTAAAATTTACTGAACTAGATATCACAAAGATGTCTGTCTCTTGTCCCTCCTTTCTTCCTAATATATTTTAGGTGATATCATTATTTATTAAAATTAAAAATTCTGGAAAATTAAAATGTATAAAAAGTTGAAAATTTTCCCTCTCACTTCTGTTTCTCCTCGGCTTATTTTCCACTTTCCACCGTTTCTCCCAACCCAGGCAGCTACTCTTGTTAATTTTTTGAATGTATATATATTATATATATCGCTGTATAGTATTTTATTGTTTGGATAGAGGTCTGTAATGTAATGAGTCACCTATCGATTGACATTTGGGTTATTTCCAGTGCTTAACTAACACAAAGAATGACGCTATGACTAATCTTGCATATATGCCATTTAGCATGTCTACAAGTATTTCTGCAAGGTAGCTTCCTAGAAATGGTAAAGCATTTGTATATCTGTCAAACTTCCTGAAGGTTGCATCGATTTATTCACGTGCCATACAGTCCATATAAGATTGCAGATTTATTACCCCACAGCATCCCCAGCAGACGGCATCTAATTTTTTAATTATTTCCAGTCTCATTGGGTGAAGTCGTATGTCAGTGTTTTTTTCAATTTGCACTTATGAATAAAGTACAGTATCTTGTCATATATTTAAAGGCCACTTCTATTTTAATTTTTGGTAAAATATCTGTTTGTATACTTTGCACAATTCTCTAATGAGATGTTAGTGTTTTTCCTTTTGATTTTAAGATCACTTAAGAGGGAAATTATTCCTTTGAGTGATATAACTTGCAAATATTTACTTCAGTTTGACATTCTTTCCTTTCGTTTTCTGTGCACAAGATTTTTTTTAAGGTGATTTAATTTATCTTTTATAGCTTCTGGATTTTGAGTCATAGAAAGGCTTTCTTCATTTTTCTTTCTTTTTTTTTTAATTTAGGCATCCTTCAATGTTTTCTTCAAGTATTTTATGGTCTTATTTTTATACTTATTCTTTGGCCTGTTTGGAGTTCATCATGCATATGGTGTGATATATGGCTACAGTTCTTTTGTTTGACCTCCAGTTGGCTGTTCAGTTGTTCAGCACCATATACTGAATAGTCTATTTTTCTCCACTGATTTTAGATGACATCTTTATCAAACACTAGTTCTTTTATGCATTTGGATTTGTTTGTGTAGTTTTAATTCACTTCCATTGGTTTCTATATTTATGTACCAGTAATTCACTGTTTAAAGTTATTGAGCCCTTCTAATTTAATATAATGTATCATATCATTAAATTATTGAGTAAAATTCAATATCATTTAGCAATTATATTGAGTAGGTACTTTGTGCCAGGTACCATTCTAGGCCCTGAGGATATAGTAGTGAACAAAACCCACAACATACCCTCTTCCTCAACCCAAGAGGCTCACATTCTAGTGGGAGATATACATATATGTGTGTGTGTGTGTGTGTGTGTGTGTGTATGTCATATGATAGTAAATGCTATGAAGATAAAACAGAAAGGAAGATTGGTGATAGCGGTGTGATTTTAAGCAGTGGAGATAGAGAAGACCTCACTGAAAGGTAACATTTGAGCAAAAACTTGAAGGAGGTGAGAGATTAGGTCATGTGGCTCTCTGGGGAAGTCTTCCAGGTAAGGGGTGGAACAAACCTGTGAAATGGGACTGTGTCTGTCTAGTTCACACAACAGCAAGGAGGTCAGTGGGGTTGGCACAGTGAGCCATGGAGAATAGAGCTGTCAGAGAAGTAACGGGAGCCACACCATTACTTGGGACCTTGTAAAAAGGCTCTGAGGGACTTACAGAGGGCCTTGTGAGGAGTTAGGCTTTTGTTCTGAAGACATTAGAAACCTTTGGAGGGTTTTCAGTAGAAAAGTAACATGATCAGACTTACATTTTGACAGGGCCACTTTGAGAATAGATTATAGGAAGACAAGGGCAGAGCAAAGAGATAAGTTAGAAGGCTATTGTATTTATTCTGGCAAGAGGTGATATTAGCTTAATCCAGGTAGTAGTGGAAGAAGCCCCCAGATTCTGAACATGTTTCCAAGAAAGGTACAACGGCATTAGATAGATTGAACAAGGCATATGAGAAAATAAATGAGCCGTCAATAAATGTCAGCTGTTACTAATCTTTCCCTGACCTCTTCCAAACCCATCCCAACAATCTGAATTAGGTGCCCCATCTCTGTGAGCCTCTATTGTAGCATTTATCACACACCATTGTAATTGTCTCTTTTATTCCTCTTTGTTTTATTCCTGTTTGTATCTTTTGTGCATAGCAGTATACCTAGAACAGGAAGTGCTTAAGCTTTTTTGAATTGAATAAATGAGTATAGAGTCTTTAAAAATTAGAATAGCTACTCCTGCTTAGGATGACAGTTGGAGGCACGTGCATCCTGAGAGTGATTTGTTCAAGTGATTTAACGTAATAACAATGGGTTTATTTCCAGACTTCACTTCTCATGATGATTATGGGAGAACTAGAGCCTTCAGAGGGTAAAATTAAGCACAGTGGAAGAATTTCATTCTGCTCTCAGTTTTCCTGGATCATGCCTGGCACCATTAAAGATAACATCATCTTTGGTGTTTCCTATGATGAGTATAGATATAGGAGTGTCATCAAAGCATGCCAACTAGAAGAGGTAAGTAATTATGCGAAAAATATCTGATTATGCATATGAAACCTTCCAACTAGATATTTAACTTTTTACTGAATCAATCTGTATATATTAATCACATTTCCACAATGGGTAAACTGTGAGTAAATTAATTAATAAAATATATGACCCCTGCTGTAAGAAGCTTGCAGAAACATAAAGAAATTACAATTTATTTTTTAAATGGTGGTCTGGTTTGGTTACAATAAAAACTCTATGAATGGTAAGAATTTTGTACACTTATTAGTGAGACAGATGTCCTCCATGGACATTTATATAGCATATATTTTTTAAAAGGTACTTCAGAATTCATAAGAGGATTTTAATTATTTTAATAACACCATAGCCTAATGAAACAAACATTGACCGCCAGTAGGGAATCGGCGATTAACTTGTGATTATATCCCATCCTTTGGCCTTGAACGTGTAACCATACAACTTTTAGTGACTAATTCTCTGAAACAGAGGCAAAATTACGATGAATCACTTCGTGACAATATCGAGGAATGAGCTAATCATCTGGAAATACAGAAAGCATTCCAAGTGAAGTCAGTACATGGATCTTGTACTATTCAGTACATAAATTGCATAATAAAGGGTTCAATAATTATCGATGTTAATGGTAGGGAATATATCATTATGAGGTTTATCAGCAGGGAAAATATCACATTATGAGGTTTATCAGTAGTATTGCCTGAATAGTGATCTTGATTCAAAATCACTATCCTTGGTAAATGACATTTGACATTAGTAGATTCCTTTAAATCAACTTTTATGAAAAAAATTGCAGTGGAATAAAATGAAGCTTAAAATGCAGTGCAAGAAAAATAGAAAAAAGGCTAATTGTGGATTAGATAGAAACTGCAGTCCTTACAAAAGAGGGCTACATCCTTGAACAAATGGCTTTTTATGTATATACTGACTCATTCAACAGTAGTTTTTAAAAGCTCCATTCTCTTATTTTTCATATACTCTGAAAGCATAATAAAAATGAAAACTATCCTGAAAAATACTGGATTTACCTTGAAGAAAATATTCTTCATTCCTCAAAAGCTCTTCTTCCAGGGATAGTGTTTACAACCTAGAGGTTGGAACACTCATTAAATTTTTTATAAAGAATCTGCGTGTTTCTAGAGAATACAGATATTTGTCTAGGAGGGGGCTAGGATGTAGGACTGACAGTGAGTGCCCTGCAAGATAAATCATGGGCTCTATTTGTTTATTAGTGGCAAGGTGTTGGCAGGTTTCTGGTAGGTTTTATTTTTTGCTTTGAATATATCTTTTCCCATAGAAATGTTTTTATAAATAGTGTCTTGATTCCCCCAAGTAAACCTGTGAAAGTATATTTAACCCAAATATGGCATAGCTATATTAGTAGTAGTAAATTCAGAGGTATAGGTACCTAATTCATAGAATGAGCATTTACTATCTTCTGAATACTGTGCTAGGTCCTGAGAATGCCAAGTAGAATAAGATGTGGTCTATTTTCTAAAGAGTGCATAGTAAGTAAAGTGACCTGTATTTTAATGAATGGTTGTATGGTATGTGAATTATATCTTGATAAAACTGTTAAAATAATGAAGGAAAGAGGATAAGAATAAAAACATATTATTCCTTTTTTTTCCTGATTCCATGGCCGGCCTTAAAATTATTTTTAAAGTGTTTAATACTTTTTTTTTTTTTAGTATATTCGCAAGGTTGTACAACCATCACCACATTTTCAACTCCTCTAAGAGAAATCCTGGTTAGCAATCAATTTACATTCTCTCATACCTAACTCGTCCACCCAGCCCTAAGCAAACTTTTGTCTTTAAAATATTCCTATTCTAGATATTTCACATAATTAGAATCATACAATATATGGTTTTCTGTGCCTAAATGAACTTTTAAACTATAAGAAAATAGGGAGTCTTAATTTTGAAAACATTTATTGAGACTTGCTGTATTTTATGAAAATATTAATAGAGCAAGATCTATATACTGCGGAAGTCCATGGGCCAGTAGGGAAAAAAAAATCAATAAAGAATGTAATGGTTGCTCTAATAGGAAGAAAAGAGACATTTCTATAGGAGTAAAAGGATGAAGCTGAGTCTGCTAATGTAAGGAATAATCTCCAGAGGAGGCACAAGGCTGATGTCCTCTGATGGAATGATTCCCTGTGGAATTCTAATGGTGACAAGAGTGAAACTTACGGCGTTGGAGGAATTTTTTTTGATTAAGAACATTAGAGCTGCCAATAAAGTAGAGAAGATTAGGTTGATATGAAGAAGTGAAGATTGATGAGTGATGTTCCCTGGATTGTTGAGAAAATTAAATGAGATAAATAGAAGGTGCCTAACACAACATCTGGTACAAATTAGCCATTCAGTAAACAGTAGCTCATTTCTGTTTCCTTTGGAGGTGGAGAATACTGCTAGAGAGCATGACGTAAGATAAATGTGTCTGAGAGCCTGTTCTTGTTACTGAGTACTGTGGAAACAAGGTGGGGTTTGGCGTAATTGAAGACAACCATGAAAAATCATCAATATCAATTTTGATGCTGACAAAAGCAGTTGTAAGAGAAAATTATAAAAGTGGTCATCTATAGCTGGTCTACATGACCCAATCAACAAAAGTTGGAGTGTTCTGTGGGAGAAAACAGTTGGCATATGATCCTGAAGGTCTGGCGTGTAGGCATATTGGTTCCATGCTCCAGAAATGGCCACGGGGTTGGGAGGTGCTTCTAGTTTCTCTGTCCTTTTCAGACACCGCAACATGACTTCTGTGATTACCAGACACTGTTCACTGTGGTGGAGGCAGGGTGGGTACAAAATGAAAACTTTATTATTCCTTTACTCAAAGAAAACATATGCAAAGAGACCATTTCAATACAATATAGCAAGCGTTGGGCTAGAAGTACTCTCAGGCACTACAGAAGCCCAGTTGAGGGAGCTTCTCAGGGAGGCTTTCTCTAAAAACAGACACCTTGAAGGATAAGTAAAAATGGAAAATATATTCTGGATAGAGGAAACTGCATGAGCAGAAAAACCAGACATGAAACCACTTGGTTTGTGCAGGGAACCACAAGCATCTTGATAGAACGAGAGTATTATTGGGGGACAGTGAGTGGGGAGGAATGAAGCCGGAGTGCCATGTCTTGGGAGCCTTGAAAACCAGTCTCAGGAATTTGGTCTTGGAGAGCTTTAATCAGGGAAGTGATGTAATCAGCTTTGCAATTTACATATATCTCTTTGGCTGTGATATGAGAAGCAGAATTAAGGTGGATGTGATTCGAACCTTTGTGGACTAGCAGAAAGAACAGAGATTTTGAAACCTAATAGAGCTGGGCTGCTGAAGAAAGTTACTTAACCTTGCTGTATACTGAGTTTTATCCTCTGCAATATAAGGATAATATTACCTATTTTATAGGGTTTTGTGGATTCTTCTGGCACATAGAAAGTAATAAATAAAACAGTGATTATTATTAGTAGTAGTAGTAGTAGTAGTACTATTTGCTATTCTGATTAGAAGGAGGAAGACTAATAGGAAGCTATTTCAGTAATCCAGATAATGTCAATGATGGACAAGAAGAGACTAAGGTATCAGAGTAATTATGAGAAGATAAGGAATCCCTTATTTGTGTACTATTCAATATTTGCATCCTTAGGAAAGGGCATCAGGAAAAATGAGCCTTTGGGAAAAAGTGAATATTTTTTTCCTTAAGAAATTAGAAGAGAAATTGGTTTAGGATTAAGGATTCCTTACATAACAGGAACTGGAAAGAGGTACAGGTAGAGATGCTATGGGTTTAGAAAAGAAGGATGTGGAGGTCAGTTAAGATGTCTGATCTTAAGATGACTAAGATGTCTGATCAAGCAGAGGGATCACAGGTATTGCTAACAAAGTACCAGTGGAGGACACCACTAGATGGGTTTTAATAATGATGATGTTCTTTGTTTTTTTATTGTACAGTTCACTCTTCATCCTCTTTGCCTTAAAAGAGCAAATAAAACACTTAGTTTTTTATTTTTAATAGTCCCTGAGTCCCTGCTCCTTTCTGTCCTGCTGACTTTTGCAACTGACTTAGGTCTTCCTAGTCATCTTATGATAGGCAAAAACATCCAGCCTCTCCTAAATTCCTGTACTTTAAACTGGCAAATACAGTCAGTACAATGAGTACATTAGTATATGATTTTCTCTTCTCTTTACTGAATGTTTCCTGTATGCTGTTATCTATCCAACTACATGGTAAATTCCTTGAGAATAGTGATTCTAAAAATTTTATTTTGGGATATTCCACCAAGCACATTGATAGGGAGAAGGATAAATTCTTGTTGGATGACTGTTTCAGAAATATTTTGAAGTAGGCATGTCAGTTGCAAGAATTTTGCTCAGAAAATGTTCTTTTCTGAGCCTCACAGTCTCAGAGTTTGAGGAGACAATTATACAACAGCAAGTTCTTGCTGAGAGTGACAAATAAAAATAATTAAAAGTGCTAGACTATCCTGACAGTCAAAATCAAGTTTCCCCTATTTTCAGTGACTTTAGAGTTACCGATTTTTGTTGTTGTTAAACAACTGTTCCCGCCTTTGAAAGAGGCCAGTGAGAACCTTCCAAAATGAAGGTTTTATTTTTTTAAGCATTTGGTGGAGGAGTTTTGAGCACAGGAACACAAAATACCTACAGAATCCTTGAGGGTTAACAGCTGGTGTCAGCCCAACACTCCCTCAGCGTGTTCTCTCTGTGGCCCCATCACCAAATACAAACATTCATGATTCAACAGGTTTTCGTTTTGACTGCCAAAGCTGATCTGTTTCTTAATGTACTACATCTAGACTTGGGACTGTAGATGAGGCGGAATATTTTCTTCCTCATTTTTGTGTTTTTATTCAACTTTGATATCTACAAAGCACTTGAGTGTGTAATGATGCCTGGTGTCATAGGAGTAGGCAGGTAGGTGCAAATTTGCTTCGATACGAAAAAGCATACACAACATCGTTCACATA